TATATATATATATATATATATATATATATATATATATATATATATATATATATATATATAGAGGCTATAATGCTTGATATATATTTGTAAAACAAATTATGATTCATAAATTACAAAATCATGATCATTTTAACTGGGAGTCTACGTGGAATATTTATAATTTTTTACACCACAGGACCATTTAAAATGATCTAGTAAACAGTAAACACAAAAAGGTGATTAAAAATGTTACATTTGATTACAAAATGCAAATTACAAAAAATTAATTATAAAAATATTTTTATATGAACTTTTCCCCCCAATATTTATACTTTTTAACCTATTAAGGGTTACAATTTCATACCTATTAAAATTGAACTAGTAAAGAAAACAATTTAATAAAACAAAAACAATTAAAAGAATTCCCTTAAAAAATCTAAATAAATAATTTAAAAAAATGTTATCCATCAATTACTCATATTCAGCCTTATAAATGTTTATCCCTCTTTTACAGAATCCCACATGACATGTGCACAGAAATATACTTATGACTAGGGCTGTGCGATTAATCGAAATCGTCATAAAATCGCGATTTGAACTTGCGCAATTTCTAAATCGCTTTATAGAACGATTTTCCGCGCCCCTGACCTCCCACAGTATGCTATCCGAACCAATCAGAATGCAGTGCGCCTAAATGGAGCACGAGAACAGAACATACCGGGCGGGCATACAAATGTAACGGCAGGTTCACACACTTTTTCCGCGCCCATGTTAACTGATCAGAGCGTTCACACTGCACGCGATTGCGGTCCGGCAGTGCGCTCCAGGAGCGGTGCGTCTGTGATCGTTTCCGCACGGAGTCTATTTCTGCTGTGCTGACACGCGCTGAATTAAAGTGACAGCACATTATTCGCGGTAAAAATTAACATGGATTAATATGGAAATTTAGTAATTACACCATAAATGCATATAATTAAAGTCTACTGTTTCACAGTCAACACATGGCTTTTTGGCTAGATTTAAAAATATGTTTCAAATTCACACTGAATGCATTAATGACCATAAAGCATGTCTGTGGGGCATAGAGGAGAAACAATAATGTACAGTATGTGGAAAATAATGTGTTTTTTTACTTTAAACCGCATTAACACATTTCATTACACCAAATACACCAAATAATGTTCTTTTTAGCAACATCATATGACCCCTTTAAATTCTGGCCACAGTTTAGAATTCGTTCCCACAACTTAATCCATTACCTCGTTTTAGCAAATCATGCCCATGATGTACTAATTGATTTAATCAAAACAAGCCAATGATTTGCTCAAACTAGGGAATGAATTGAGTCATGGCAACGAATTCTTATTTTGTGGCCAAAAATGTTATAATTTTTCCCCCCGTATGTCATGTGCAGGGTTCCATGCTCTCTAAATGGACATACACTGACATACACTCGCACACACACGAGTAAGTCTGAAAGTAGGAAATGAACAGCAAGCTGGTGAGTCAGTGTGCAGGAGTGGAAGATAATAATCAATGAAGGAAACGACAGAGAATGGAAAAATCCAAGAATAGCTCTCTGACCCCCTCCCCCTTTTATCCCATATCCTCTCATTTCTCCTTTTTATATTTAACAGTCATCTGCATCCCTTCCTCTGTGTCATCACATTTCTTGACAGCTCAAGTGTATAAATCAGAATGGGTCAGGATAGGCGACAAGTCGTTTAGTGAGATTGACTATGGAGTCTAGATTTGTATTTATTTTTTATGCAGCAGTGCATGAAAAACAATAACTACCAAATCCAAAAATACATTTTAAGACACTTATAAATTGTTTTTCTAACATTTTGCAATAAATATTTTAGCATTTTTTTACACTACTTAAATCTGAAAATACACCTCTAGTTTGGTCCCTGTCATTAACTCCCAGTCTATTTGCTTTGCTGTACAGTATTCCTTGTATTTTTTACAACACCACTCATAAATTCACACTTCTTTGCCCTTTAAACACATGCGCATGAGTGATTTATCGAATGCTGAGCCACCAGCTAATGCTGAATCTAACATGCAAAGCAAACACATTTTTAAATATCAGCTGACACAGATCCATAAAATGCACACAGGTGCGTAAATTCTTAATAAGCGCCGAGAGAGATTAGCACCAGTAGTTCAAGCCTGATTTGATTGGAACCGTGGTGCAACTTCACCTCATTAGTCGACAACAACGTACAGCTACAAAAGGAAACGAACATGTGATCTGTGTTCATCTGAAGACCGTAATACAAAAGATTCAAGTCTTCAGAAAACAACATGCCTTCTTCTGGGTCGTAGATGTGCAGTTAAAAAGCAATGCTGTGCTTAATGGCAACAGATCTGATATATGCAGATGAAATGAAGCCTGAACAAAGACAAATGAACTCTGCATTAAACCGAAAGAAAGAAACCTCACTTTTCTTTATTTTAAGAAATGGTACTGTTGTTGCCGCTGTTGATTACTATAGAAAATAAGCTCAATTCATCCCTCAGTTTGTAAAAGCAAGCAAAATTGTTTACAATAATGCATTTTCAATGGAGGTCTAATTGAACCACATTAAAATATACACTGTTTTGATACTATTGCCTCAATACTTTAACATTACATGTGTTAATATAAATTTTAAATGCAAAAAAATAAAACACAAGTACATTAAAAATCAATAAACAAACAAAACAAACTAAATAAATAACTTTACAAGGACATAAAGATAATTTATCCAACCATAAAATCACATAAGATCACAATTAGTAATATTCCAAAATTTTATCGGAGAGACATGAAATGTGTATTTTAAAGTCATTTGTTACACCACAAGACCATTAAAAAAAGATTAAAACAATTCAGTTTAAACCCCAAATCGTGATATATATTAGTTAATAAGTTTTTCTTGAAATACTTAATTTTATGATGACACGAAGACAATTTGTTGAGGACATATTAAGTGTAATCTGATATCCCCTGCTTCTACCCAACCTTATGATCTCAGGAATAATTACAAAATTATTATGGCCATTTTTAAGTCACTTGTTACACCAAAGCACCATTTAAAATTATCTAACGACAAAAACAAATAATAAAAAAAATAACATTAAATTTGAACCTATAAAAAGTAAATAAATACATACAAAAAATGTAAATGTACTTTAAAAAAAAAAAACTTTACAAGGACATGAGGATAAACTGAAGACGACATCTTAAGCATAATATTCAGTTCCCTGGTTTTACTCCACCATAAGATCTCAGTTTGATGCCAAATGTGCCAATTAATGTTGGGCTCAAGTCGCCTAATTGCACTAATCTGCTAACGGCAATAACGATGAAAAAGGCCGTCCGTGAAGACCACCCACCACATCTCTTTCACTCCTCCTGTCCCCTGGGGAAAGCCTAGTGACAGATAACACAAGGGCAAGCCAGTTGGCTAATTTCCCATCAACCCCTGACCTTTCTGCAATATCTTCAAAGTGTCTGATGATGGGCTAAAGCCACCTGTGCTCAGGTGATTACGGTAAAGGGCAAAGGATTAAAGGCACTAAACTGCTTACCGCGATTAGGAGAAACACTCAAAACAACGTGTAATTGTAAAAAGTCTCATTAAATTCCAAAAGAAAAGCCCTGGGATGTTTGTCACTTGGAAGCCATTAAGTTGAGAAATATCATAAGTGACTTACGGCATACAAAATGCAGAGGCAATTAGTATGTAGTTTTTAACAAATTCTGACAAATTTATACAAAGTACCATATTTTCTTGAACATAAGTCACTTTTTATCATCTGAAATGTGTTGCGACTTATATACCAAAGTGGCATTTAGATTTATGCTGAATGAGAGGAGTACATCAGCCCAAGTTCATTTGTACAGCGAATGTCCCAAATGGCGATATCACTTTACATAAATTTAAGGCTTGGAGCTTATAATAAATGTAGTTTTTAATGAAATAATTTTTAATAACTTATGTTTGTTTTATACTTTTCTACTCCTATTCTGTATTGAATGGCATTATACGTAAAGGATTTGTCGTGGAGTGATGGGAATTAACATACACGGTTACAATGTTTGCAAACGTTCCGTTTCATTTACTAGTATTTTACATTATTTCTGAATTTAATAATAAAAAAAATATTTTTTTCTCTCAATGCAATTTTGACACTGTGCGACTTATAGTCAGGAGCAACTTATGTTTTGGGAATTAAGGTACTGTAGTTCTGCAGAATTGTACAGTTTTTCCTCAAAAATGTTATTTTATTTAATATTAAGGAGATCTTGCACCTTAAATCAATTATGTTTGATGTGCTTGCAAAAGATAACTCAATTAAAAATAGAAAAATTTCAACTCAACTCACCATTTAGAGAAAAAAAAGATAATACACTGAGAAATGTTTCTCTTAGATGCAAATATGTGCAAATTAAAGTACATGCACAAAAACACAGAAACGTTTAGGACCTTTTTCAAATGCAAGACTGAAGAAGGTCTGCTGGGACTAAAACGTTTTGGGACCAAGAGCATTCATCCAAATCATCTGCTAAAGGAATCTGGGACCCAGCAATTAATTTTTGTTTGTAAATGTCCCTCTGAGGACATTCAGGGTTTTTGGCCAATTGTTCTGAGACCATGCGTGTCCAAATGTCAGAGAACACTGAAAAAGCAATTTGTTTCTTATGAAAGAAAATCATACGCTGCTTTAAAATCTTTCCTGAGACATTAAGGATTGTGGAAATCAAACACAACTGAATAGAATAATATTAATCAAAGGTGTTATGCATTGTGTTAACAGCCATTGTTAAAAGCAACAGAGATGAAGCTATCATACAGTATCTCTGAAAACCAGAGATAAAACATATTTGCATCTAAGAGAAACATTTCTCAGTGTATTATCTTTTTTTTCTCTAAATGATCATTATTATTATTAAATAAATTAGTAAATAAAAAATAAGAAATGGTCTTATTGAAATTTCACTGTTAAAATATCTAGAAAATAACAGAAAAAAAAAAATAATAATATTTCAGATTGCAACTGTAACATTACAATACTAATATTTATGGCTCTCTTCATTTCTTCATTTTTAAATGTCAAGCTTTTTTCTTGTGTAAAATCACAAGGAAACCCTAAAGCTTCTCTTTTGTTAATAAGCGCTTCGCATTACAAGTACAGGAAAACGTTTGGTGAATTTAGCATTCCTAAATGCATGTTAAAGCGACTCAAACATAAAACAAAGAGACAGAGATGGAGTTTGTGGAGCAGCATTTGTTGTAAACCAAGCTGCTCCGAGATGCTGAAAATCGGTGGATAATAAGCTGCTCACATGTAAAAAAACAGTGCCACGCTACACTCTGAAACACGCAGTGCATACCTGCATATTTATTTAAAGGGGTCATATGATGCGATTTCAATTTTTCCTTTCTCTTTGGAGTGTTACAAGCTCTTGCAAAGTTTCACTGTTAAAATATCTAGAAAATAACAGAAAAAAATAAATAATAATATTTCAGATTGCAACTGTAACATTACAATACTAATATTTATGGCTCTCTTCATTTCTTCATTTTTAAATGTCAAGCTTTTTTCTTGTGTAAAATCACAAGGAAACCCTAAAGCTTCTCTTTTGTTAATAAGCGCTTCTCATTACAAGTACAGGAAAACGTTTGGTGAATTTAGCATTCCTAAATGCATGTTAAAGCGACTCAAACAGAAAACAAAGAGACAGAGATGGAGTTTGTGGAGCAGCATTTGTTGTAAACCAAGCTGCTCCGAGATGCTGAAAATCGGTGGATAATAAGCTGCTCACATGTAAAAAAACAGTGCCACGCTACACTCTGAAACACGCAGTGCATACCTGCATATTTATTTAAAGGGGTCATATGATGCGATTTCAATTTTTCCTTTCTCTTTGGAGTGTTACAAGCTCTTGGTACATAAAAAAGATCTGTAAAGTTGCAAAGACTAAAGTCTCAAATCCAAAGAGATATTCTTTATCAAAGGTAAGAGTCAGCCACGCCCCCCTAAAACAGCTCGTTCTAACACGCCCCCACATATCTACGTCACGATGTGGGAATATTTGCATAACGCCGCCCAAATGTTCACGCAAAGAAAGAAGGTGTAACTTTTATTCTTTATTTGTTGTTTCCGCCGCCATGTCGTAAAGACGCTGTGTGCTTCGTTGTGAAAGCGAAACTACTTTGTTTGGTCTTCCAAAAGAGGACGATATCCGCTTCGTCATGACTAGAGCTGATCCGTGCTGGTTGCTGAGGAAATACTACAACTTTGCACTGTCGATCGCCGGATCGGCTTTCACCGTGGATGAAGCGGAGTCCAGCCCGGAGTCGTCACATGTCCTTCCGGAAGCCCAAATCGCTAGCCGCGCCGTTCTCAAGTCCACCTGCCTCTGCTCACTCTAACCCTCCCGCCGTTCAGACATGCAGACATGGTTTAATGTTTACGCGGTGCGATGCAACGCAACTCGTAAAAAGACAGTATAAGTCATTATAATCCATAATTATGTCCCCACTGGATGGGTTTTAATGTTTTTGTCTCGTAGCTCTGGCCTGACAAGGCATCATCACAATATGGTGAGGGGCGTTACATTTCCGTCTCACGCTTGAGGTATTCGGCCAATCACAACGCATTGGATAGCTGGCCAATCACAGCACACGCTTTTTCAGACCGATGAGCTTTGTAAAAATCGACGCGTTTCAGAAAGGTGGGCCATAGAGGAGAAACAATAATGTACAGTATGTGGAAAATAATGTGTTTTTTTAACCTTAAACCGCATAAACACATTTCATTACACCAAATACACAAAATAATGTTCTTTTTAGCAGCATCATATGACCCCTTTAAAAGAACCAAAAAAAACACACTGTGCCATATTGTGATTTTGGCTGCATTCAAAATCTCATACTCTGTTGGGTAGGTATTTTTTTGAACAAGTAATTACTTCGCGACCACAACAAGTATGTTCTATACTGTATGAATGTGTGTAGTATGAATGTAATGTGTACATACTACATTCGCCATTTTGACGACATGTGACCGGCATCACGTCACTGCCATTCATAAATCCTCTCCCGTGGCCTCATGGGATAGTAAAGTGTTCATCGTATGCACACTTCAGAATCTTACTGGAAGTAGTAAGTCATCCAGGTTCTTTTGCCTACTGTTTTATGAGTACTATGAATTCGGGCATACTTCTTTTGTCACATACTATTTTTCGCCTACTATATAGTAGGTAAGAATACGATTTCGGATGCAGCCTTCGGTTTTATTTCGATTACTCATGCAGCCCTACGTTATAGCATCATTTACTTTGAAAATAAACCTTAATCCGTAGCTAGCACTGACCTGCAGGGCATTGTAGAGCAGCTGATGTTCAAACTTCTTGATTCCCAGGATTTGCTGGAACATCTCATACAACTGTTCTTTGCTGAGGATGAGTTCGGATACAGCGCTGAAGGGCATGCGTCCCTGCGGCCGCCGCTGGTCCTCTTCTCCTTTGTAGATGGCGTCGTATTTAGTGATCCAGGAGCTGAGGACAGTCTCTTTGCTCAGGCCATCGATCTCGGGCAGGCTGCGCACACGACGCTCAATGTTCTTCTTGAAGACCTCGCGGAAGTCACTGGCAGAACAGCCTCCGCTCTGTACCATGCGTGCCACTCGCTCGCTCTTCAAGAAGCCCTGAGGGAAGAAACAGTGACAGGGTCAATCCATCGGTTCACTGATGAACACAAGAAAGTTTTATTTTGTATTCTTTTTTACTCATCATTACATTAGAAATTCAGTTTATACATAAAATGAATGCACTTTAATAGGTTACATGAAGAAAGTGTTTTTAATTTCTGAATGAATCCTGAATCGATAGTTGGATACTTTGTAAATACAAGAAAGACATCAGAGAAATATCAGCTTCAAATTTCCTTGAGAATTTAATAGTTCATTGGTTCCATTAAAATTCCCATTCAAGTGGTGGCCAAAAAAAGCAATGATACTGGATAATTTGCAGTGCTTTTTGGTACCATGTCAGGGTGATTCAACTGTCCTGTTATTATAATAAAGAAAAATACAGATATATATATAAAATAAAAAGATAATTTTTTTTTAATATTATTTTTATTATTATTTCTTAGTAATGACTGGTCAATATGTCAAGGTCAATAAGAACAGATTTTTTAATACATTTATATATTTACTGTAAAGAAAGCCTTAAATGAGTGGTTTGACTTTATTATTACTTTTATTATTATTTCTTAAAAATAACTGGTCAGCATGTCAAGGTCAACAAGTCTCTTAAAATTTATGATAATATTTGTGATATCTTTGATATCCTGATATTTTTAATATCTTTGAGGCATAAGGTAAAAAAAAAAATGTCAGGTTGATGCAACTGTCCTGTTATCATAATAAAGAAAAATAATAATATATATATATATATATATATATACAGGAATGGGAAGATTCCCCGATTCGCTCGGTGCATCGGCATAAAAATTTAACGATGCGATGCATCGGTTTAAAAAGTGTGCATCGGCTACAAGTTGGCATTTATATCGCGATGCATCGTTTCTAACATATTTGTATCGGTAAAAAACGATTTATTAATATATAATTACTAGTGGATGCGCTATACTTTTATTATTTATAAAGTGACCAATAATCTGTGACTACTATTTTATATGTAGATTGATTTCTCTCCCTAAACTGTTTCTCAAGCACGTTCTCTCATCACTGCTGCTGCGTGAATATGACGCATCACAACACCATGGAGACCCGAGGAAAAGCGGGGATTAAAGTCCAAAACCTGACCTGAAATAACCTAACAAATCAACCGGGGCTAAAGCGGTTCCATAAACGACAAATTAAGTTCACACAATCTCACGAATTTGTGCACGTTTATTTTTAAGCAGCTCTTAATGTCTTAATGTCTTAAAGCTCTTAATTTTCATTTTTCCTTTTTTCATTCAGTGATTTTAACTTTTAATTTAGTTATTTTAATGCTTTAAAGAGCAATTTTAGATTGTAATGTTCTAATGTTCTGCTATCTGTTCTGCAAACTATAAAAGGTACAGCTGTCATAAAACCAGAGAGAAAGGCTGCATGGCTAGAAACTGTAAAAAAAGTCAAATAATAGTATGTGAGAGAGTGGTAATATCATTGTGTTCCTATTGGTCAGTGTTAGAGGAACTTAGCTTAGCCTGACAGTTAGCCTGCTTTAGACCAGGTTAGTTTCCCAGCACAAGTTGCCACAGTGACTAAGCTTGATCTAGGCCTATGTTAAATTTGCTTTCATGGAACCAAATCATTTGACAAGGAGTAAGACTAACTGAAATAAGCCTGGCTTATTTGGTAAACTTGTTTTATGAAACAGGCCTCAAGGCATTAAAAGTGATCATATTTTCTCCATTGCATCGCATTTCATCGAATCGCATTGTGTTGAATCGAATCGCATCGGAATCGGATCGCACTGCATCGTAACAAGGGTGAATCGTATCGCATCGCATCGGTAGCTGCTTCTTATGTATCTTTAATGTATCGTATCGTTGGCTATGCATCGAGATGCGTATCGTATCGGCCTGAGTCATGAGATGCACATCCCTAATAAATAAATAAATATATATATATATATATATATAAACCTTAACATTGAGCAGTCTAACTTTTTATTATTGTTATTTTTATTATTATTTCTTAGTAATGACTGGTCAATATGTCTAGGTCAATAAGACTCAAAATTTTTTGATAATAATTCTGGATATTTGAATGAATGAAAATAAAAATACAAAATTGAAAATAAAATAATAATGGATGGTTACACCCCATGCCATTTTATTAACCTTTCAAATTTAAAGTCTAAAATGGTATAAAAGCTTTCAAAACCATATGAAACCAATATGAACATTTCTAAAAACTTGGCAGATGCATTCTACACTAGATTCTTTCCTTTTCTTTATCGTAGAAACTCTCATTTTCACAATCTCAACAGTATCTCTGTACGAAGGGTTTTGTAAAGACGGGTCATGTTCCTGGATGGCCAACATAATTTACAGCACCTTTAATACAGCTCACTGTACTTGTTTTGCACAAATATGGAGTCTTTTAAAGGACATAATTACTTCACAAATGGGGTCTCGCTCAACAAGTGCTTCCATCCATTCATCATTACAAACCAAAGATACACAAGGAACGAATTGACGTAGCAAGCCAAAATTCAATTAAATCCTCAAAGCGGCAGAGCAGCGCAGTTTTAGAAAACACAATGATTCATAAGAGAGGAAATGCCCCACTGCGAGAGCGGCTAATCAGCACAGAAAACCATGAAAACACTTCACCACTTTTCAGTAATTTAATTTTTTTATATCCGGTGACCGTGTCTGGGGGAAACTGATGCTGGTGAGGTGCGACGTAAGCGGCAGATGGAGACGAATCGCAGCTCCTAACCGCGAGTAATGGAGCAGAACAAAGACACTTCAGCTGCCTCGTCTCAAGGAGGCGGGGGAATATATCTGTGTCGAAACCACCGTGATCGGGTAAGACGACAGAGATCGGAGCGCAACACGAGGCAGTTCTCATAGAGGGAAACTCCACTCAAATTGCTTTTACTTGGACACCTGTAGAGACTACAAATATGTTATTTTTCTTTCAGATTTGAGGAATGTGTTCATTTTAAAACACGATTTTAAACATAAAAGCTCCATTCGACGTAAGTGAAACAGAAATACAAACGCAAATTATATTCTTTTTGGCAAATGCTTGTATTTATCCATTTACAAATCAATTCATTTTTGATTGTCGGTTTGGTTAATGATTTACTATTTATTGTTACTTTAATAACAGTTTAAAAGGTGAATTAAATAAACTATTTTATATTTGGTTATATAGGCTTATTTGCCTATTTCAAAAGTGATTCATTTTTATTATGAATCCTTTATGGGCATGAAAAAAAGACAATACTTTTTTAAAAATCTATTTTACTATTTATTATTTTTGATATTTTATTTGAATATTTAACAAATAAATATGTTTATAATATTAAAACGTAACCATTTTATTAAAACAATAAGAAACCCAAGGCCTTTCAAGTCCCCTAGCTTCAGTATAAGCTACATTGATACCAAATAAATTCCCTATTCACGGTTTAGCAGAGAAAATAAATGCCAATTCATGTTGACTGACAGGCGAAACCAAAAAAGGACCGCGTGCTACTTTAAATGCATTAAATCCAGACAGCAAACTCAGTGTTTCAGACAGTTTTATTTCCTTAACCCCCTCATATGCAGCTTTCCAACCTGTACCACCTGTATTATTTGTACAGGAGACAAATAATGTGAGCGCTTATATAATATACGCCTCTACAGACAGTTGCAACTACACAATGGTGTCCAATACCTCCATTTTGTGGTGGTGAAAATGTCAAACATTATTACTAATGAATCGGCCACCAAGGGATTTCCTCTCTCCCTGCTGCTTGACTTAATTGGCGGTTTAAAATCTCATTCAATTATTTATAACCAACAGTGTGCAGAGCTGTGCTCCGTCTGCAGTGAAGAGATTAATAAGATACAGAGCCATTTGTGTAATTAAAGCTAATATGAGGAATTAATCCCGGCAGAAGAATGAGGGAGAACGTCGTCAGAAAGATTGTAGATTAGTGCAGGAATCACGGTCGAGCTGCCATACTATCAGTAGGAGCAGGTTATGAAGGAAGACTGAGAGATTATATTGGTGTATTGGACTTCATAGGGGGCGGCGTGTCTGCGATAAACACGAGGGAGAGATTATGAGCATGTGAGAGACACAAGTCTGGAGGGTGATGATTAATTAACAGAAAAGGATTAACGATGACAAACATTTTCATTTTTGAGAGCTGATTTAACAGGTGTTGTATTAACATTTATTTGTAGGTGTGTTTCGAACACCTTACGCCGTGTCTACACCAGCGCGGTGCAATGTGACAAAATACTATAGAACTCATTATAATCAGTGATGCTGTCTACACTGGATGCGGTGCGGCACGACAAATCCCAGACAGAAAAGTGCAGCTGCATTCTATTTATGACGTATTGACACAAATTTCAAATGATTTTTTTGCTGTTGCGGCGCGGCGTGACAACTGTCGCATCCAGTGTAGGCACGGTGTTATGTTTATTCTCACATTACTGCTTTGTTCCAAAACCAAGTGTATTATCTACATAGAAAGCATCATAGACATTGATAGATTTTTTAAATGATTGAATTTAATGGATATCATTCTCGCTGTTATAATGAAGCAAGGGGACTTGAAAGCCCTTTAGTATGGAGGACCAAACCTGCAAAAAATTTAAATAAATATATAGATAAATAAATAAATAAATGTGATAATAGGAAAATATATAAAGAAATAAATGACGTGATAAATAAACTAGTTTATTTGTAATAAAATGTAATTGTGAATTATTTTTTATGACTTTTTTCCTTTATGTATTACTTTCTGTATTTATTTTTGACTTTCACTTATTCTTTCATTTATTTTTTATATTTAATTTATTCATTCATTTATTTATAAATGTATTAATTCATGCATTTTTTTTTTTTTTTATATTTATTTATTCCCACATGTATTTATTTCCAAATGTATTTATTAATTAATTTATGTGTGTGTGCAACATGGAATATCAAATTTTATTATAAATGAACTATATTTA